GAAAAAGAAAAAATATATACATACACAAAAGACAGACAGATATATAAAAAGATATATATGCACATACATCTGATGAATAATGGAGACATAAAAATAACAAATATATAAATATCACTGCTCATATATAACAATCTTGTAAAATAATTAAAAAGAAAAAAAAAAAAAAAAAAAAAAAAAAAAAAAGAAAAAAAAACTAACTGTACTTAATTTGCAAGAAATAATGTAGAAAAAACAATAATAAAAAAAAATTAAGTACTGCTGGAATAAGCACTAGGTACTTAAACAGAGTGAAGCTATGACACTACTGAAGCAAGCACCCAAAAAGGAAAAGAAGACAAAAAAACAAATAAAAAATTGACCTTAGAAGACAATGAAACAGCTGTAGCAAGAAATAAACAACTGGCAACTCAACCAAGGGACTACTTACCTTACCTAAAATGCGTGCTTAAGGAACTTTTTCTTTCATTCAACACTTTAGACTAAAGAAAAAAAAAAGAAAAAAAAACTAACTGTACTTAATTTGCAAGAAATAATGTAGAAAAAACAATAATAAAAAAAAATTAAGTACTGCTGGAATAAGCACTAGGTACTTAAACAGAGTGAAGCTATGACACTACTGAAGCAAGCACCCAAAAAGGAAAAGAAGACAAAAAAACAAATAAAAAATTGCCACAATTTACCAACCAGACACTTACATCCACACAAATGCACATTATTGTCAATCACCACAATCAAACTCTCAAAACCATTCATAAACACCCTCAGGAGTTCTTTTCACGACATCAAATTATTTACTCATTATCCTTTGTACATGGAGCTTTGTTTAGGTTTCAATGATGCATAACAACACCAAGTAACTTCAACAAGAGATCGTCATACATGGAAGTTCTTCATGGAAATTTCTCTCTAATCATAACACTGTTTTGGGCCTAACTTGTAGAAATGAATATAAGAAAAAACATAAAAAAAGGACAAAATAAGATAAAACAGAAGATTATGCATGAACTTTACACATTGTGGTTATAAAATTTAAATCTTACTAATGAAAGCATTTGGTCAAATGGACAAGGAATCTTACAACATATCTTAATATTATCATAGATGAACAAGCAAGACTCAGTGTTTATCTAGGAATGTATAACTTTTGGTGTTATTTTTTCAATGACACAGCACACACCTCTGCTACAATTAATACCTTGTCCTTTATAATCCTTTTCTTTAATATACAGCCAAATTTTGAATCAAATGGGATTTTTTTTATACAGAAATTAAGTCTCCGCAATTTATCAACTGAACGAGATGGAAAGAATCAAACTCCATTATTCATGAAAGAGCTTGTTACACAGTCAGATGTATCTTATTTTCATAATATGTATCATGTTAAAAACAAGTAGAATGTCTCCAGAAATTATCTTTTTGACGTGGGAAAAAAATAAGTATCTCTAGCATGTGAGAAGTCATCACTGGAGAAATTTTAAAAAATGGTGAATTTGGTTGTACTTTTTAAAAATAAAAGAGTCAAAATCTTTTCACATTCCTAAGTAGAAAAAAAAAATATATACATACACAAAAGACAGACAGATATATAAAAAGATATATATGCACATACATCTGATGAATAATGGAGACATAAAAATAACAAACATATAAATATCACAGCTCATATATAACAATTTTGTAAAAAAAAAAAAAAAAAAAAAAAAAAAAAAAAATCCACAATTTACCAACCAGACACTTACATCCACACAGATGCACATTATTGTCAATCACCACAACCAAACTCTCAAAACCATTCATAAACATCCTCAGGAGTTCTTTTCACGACATCAAATTATGTACTCATTATCCTTTGTACATGGAGCTTTGTTTAGGATTCAATGATGCATAACAACACCAAGTAACTTCAACAAGAGATTGTCATACATGGAAGTTCTTCATGGAAATTTCTCTCTAATCACTGTTTTTGGCCTAACTTGTAGAAATGAATATAAGAAAAAACATAGAAAAAGGAGAAAATAAGATAAAACAGAAGATTATGCATGAACTCTACACATTATGGTTATAAAATTTATATCTTACTAATGAAAGCATTTGGTCAAATGGACAAGGAATCTTACAACATATCTTAATATTATCATAGATGAACAAGCAAGACTCAGTGTTTATCTAGGAATGTATAACTTTTGGTGTTATTTTTTCAATGACACAGCACACACGTCTGCTACAATTAATACCTTGTCCTTTATAATCCTTTTCTTTAATATACAGCCAAATTTTGAATCAAATGGGATTTTTTTTATACAGAAATTAAGTCTCCGCAATTTATCAACTGAACGAGATGGAAAGAATCAAACTCCATTATTCATGAAAGAGCTTGTTACACAGTCAGATGTATCTTATTTTCATAATATGTATCATGTTAAAAACAAGTAGAATGTCTCCAGAAATGATCTTTTTGACGTGGGAAAAAAATGAAGGAAGATATAAGTATAAAAATAAGTATAAAAATAAGTATCTCTAGCATGTGAGAAGTCATCACTGGAGAAATTTTAAAAAATGGTGAATTTGGTTGTACTTTTTAAAAATAAAAGAGTCAAAATCTTTTTACATTCCTAAGTAGAAAAAAATATATATATAAATATATATTTCCCTGCTAATTTCAAAATGGCAAAATAGATTCCATCAAAAAATCCTACTCTATTCTGCACCAATTCCTTCTCCCAATATTCTACAATCAACAACACTAATCTTCATCTGCCTTAACTGCAAATTGCTGCTAAAGAAATGTTTATAATAAGGCCATCCCTCATGTTATGAATCACACTGATATGAACCAATAAAAAAATATAAAGAGAATGTATAAACTAATATTACATGCGGCATGAGTATACAACTATTCTGTTTCTGGGAAAGTCAAACGACCAAAAGCTAATGAATAAATTAGGAGCAAACCCAATTGTGCTTTCTTGCATATGAGTAAATTCTAGCATAGTTTCATTTCTTCACACCTACTGCCATACTTCCCCCCTACATGGGAATCTCGTTTAAAAACAAACAACAGTTTGACGCAAGTAAGACTGAACACCCTCACGCAATATAATGGTTTATCTCTCCAACTAAACATCGCTGTTTCTTCAGGATATATCTTGCATCTGTAGTGTTACAGAAAACAGGCTCAAACAATATTGACAGTCATATGATTTTCTTACTCCTGAAATTCCAAAAGTATAATTTTTATTAATTTCATTTAACCCATTGAGTAGTTTGTTTGTTCATTGAGCTTATAGACTGGTGAAAGAAATAGGGACCATTACAAATTGCAAGTCATGGGAATGGTTTACAAGTTTTATAGCACTTTTAAAGAAATGCTTTTACTGATTACAGGCTAAAAGGACATATGAGGAAATTGAAATACTTTCTTTTCTAACTTTAACCCATTAGACACAGATGGCATGATACCTTGCTATTTCTATTGTGGACCAAGTAGCATGGCACCTCATCACGACAATTCCCACACCACTGGCTCACTGGATGGAGCTTGTTTTTCTCAGATAGTACTGCCATTATTTGTATGGTAAAACTTGTAGGCAGTGGCGCCTAGCATGAAGGGAAACCTTTACATTATTTTTATTTTATTTATTTATTTTTTTCTTTTTCAGCTTGATGTACCGAACAAGGTTTTTTAACATCTTCTTCACCTGTCATTAAGGGGTTAACCCATTTCTGCCAGGTGGTCTGAATCACATAAAGGCAAAAACTTCACTGACACTGAGTGACATCTAGCCTGGGTCCTGGCAGCTGGGATGACTCCTCAGGAGCCCAGTCATGAGTCAGACAATGGCCTGGCATGGAGTGGCACACTAGTGCATCCCAGCATCATCTAAATTTAGTTGAAATCTCACCCATTGTGATTACAAACATGTCATTAGAGGCATCTCATGAAAGTATACTAATTCTCTAATAATCCTTAACATTTCTTGTATTATTCAACTCTCTGGAATTACTATAAGCCTAGAGCTTAATCACAGTGCTAAATCTCACTACTCAATGGGTTAAAGTGTCATATACAGTATAGAATCTTTGTTGCAAATTCAATGTTACACTGTACATAAAAAGACATGACAAACAATCATGATTTCCTATAATTATCTTAGATTGCAATCCTGCTAACTGTCCTAATATCTCTAAACTGCATGCATCCATGCATGCATGCAGCTATAACTTGCGCATTCCACTTCTTATGATTCATTTTTACATTCAAACTTCATTGAACAAAGGCACTCACAAAGGCATACACACATAAATGCTCATACAGACACAAGACACACAGCGCACACACACACATACACACTCTCTTTTTCTCTCACTAATAGTTATCAATACAAATATTTAAGATGAGAACTGGTCAACTTGCAGTGGTAGCAGGAGTTTTACAACAGCCCCTTTATTCTGGAATTGGTGTTGTGTAATATGCAGTGTAAGATGTTTATTTATTTATCTTTTTTTTTAAGCCATACCATGTTGCTAACTAAGAACAAAGAGATAAAGTATGATGCCAATCCTATAACGTATTCCATGCAGGTTTGCACGAGAAAGGAAGAGAATTAAAACTGAGTTGCTATCTAGACTATTCAGTGCACATGATTTACAATATCTATTTATTTGTAACTCGATAAGATACTACTGATTAACATCAGTGCATCCAAACACATATATCTAAAACAGTTAAATACATGACACAAGTGTCTTGTGATATGGTTAACAAGGTTTACAATTCATTAAACCTTCACCTGATAATTAGTCATCTACGTAAGATTCAGGAACCTTACTTTAACATTTCTTTTATGTTACTGACTCCACATAAGACACTATCTCTAATTCCTTTGAACAAAAGCCTGATAAAGCAATGCATGCCTTCATTACTCAAAGCCTATCACAAGTCACTGGTGTTGCTGTGGGGGAAAAGTGCTTGTGCCAAAATATGAGTCATTGTGAAAAGT